TCGAAAGCTTGAAGTGGTCCAACAAATTCCCCGTCGACGCATATGGTGGAACTACCCTTAGTATATACTATTGTCGATTCAGGTGTAAGCACAACTTGGTATTCACAATCAAAATACACAGGAACTCCAAACCGCAATGGTGGAGGGTGATCCATCTTACAAAATTGTAAAATAAGAGGTGAGTCGAAGCCTAGTAATGAATCTCTAAATCTAAGGTAGGAGATCATCTTACCACTCAATCCGGTACATGCAAAGCACAACGATCCCAGGCGCATACAAAATGACTATGAGAGATGATTAAATAAATGGATGCATTAATTTACCTATCATGTTATGTCGATGGAAAACATGAACAATATCACATAGGATTATTCACTCAAATGCAAGCGAATGACATAACACATTGTGATGCATGATTTATGACTGATTAGTTCATTAATAAACATGTATGCACATAGTCATGCATCATATTAGTTATTTCATCTCATTTCATCTTGACTCCCGATGCATCCCAACTCCGGGGTATCTCGACACACAGGGCATCTCCACTCCCGAAGCATCCCGACTCTACAGGGCATTCGGAGCATCGTTGCCACTAATATGTGAGCGATGGGCATAACTTTTCATAATACTTTCTATATTTACTCACATAGCAACAATGCATATGATAACATCATAATCATATGATTTTCCTTGCGTCAACAACGAAATCAATGTTCATTTCAAGAATTGACATCTGATACACAACATCTTTTAATGCAATTTACTTTCGAAATATAATTATGTTGCCCTTTCAATGATTAAATTCGCGAATAATGATAATGAGATGCTTACATCTTTTCATTTCTCATGTAAGCAAATGATAAATGATAACATTATTAGAAAATCGGCCATGTGAACATCGACAACCCAAATAATAGACACCACAACATCGACAACATAATAATCGACAGTGCTTAGATAGTAAATCCGTAACTTAGTCGAATCACGAAAATATCACTTTTTGATTTAATTTCACAATTTCCACTTTTTGCACTATTGAATCTTATGACATCAATTAATCATAAACTGGCATGTGGAGACTCATCGATTCAATTCAACGAACACAGCATAACATAATCATTAGAAAAAGACAAGTTAGAAATCAACAACTTAAAACAAAAATTGGCATCTTGATAAAAGTCAATTAAATCGATAACGATTTAATTTAGTCAGCCAATCACTTAACAATGATTACTAGAATATCATCTTCAAGTCCAAATGAACATGACAAATCAACATGAAATCATTGAAGCTTTTCTCACGCTTAACGTCAAAGATCAAACTAAAATTAATGACCATCAAACAGCCAAGTCAAGGGTAATAAGTAAATCATTCTAATTGAGTCCTTAGAGTTTTCACTTACAATCAAATTCAAACTAAATTAACAAACATTAATCAACCAAGTCAAGAGTACTAAGTAGATCAACCTAACTTATCCCCCAGAGTTTTCACTTACCTTAAAAAATGACTTGAGCAAATCAAAGTTTTAAATACCTTCAAAACAAAATAATCAAGAACATAAATTAACAACTCCTAGGCTTTTTAAACAACATAATTAATTTGATAAGATGAAGATGAAGACCAAAAATTCACCTTGTAAATACTCAAAACATCGATTTAGAAGCTTGAGAAACACAAACGTGGGACTTTCGCCTTTGATTTGAAAGAGTGGGAAATAAAAGAGAAGGGAAGGTGACATTGAACTCTCTCTTTCTTTGCAAGAATGAGTTAAAGCTCTCTAATTAGAACTTGAATTCTTGAAATGGCTTCACACACTCAAGAGGGGATATTCTTGGAAGACTTTCATGAAGTACAAAATGATGACAATATGTAACTAAGGTTAAAAGTAATGATAAGCTTGAGTTAAAAACACTAGGTGTAAAAGAGAGAGATAGATGTTCCAATCCATAAGCTACAAGTGGCTATATTGAAGGTGAAAATATGGAGATATTTGATTGAAGAGAGGGAGAGAGAGAGAGAGAGAGAGAGAGAGAGCATCATGAGCCAAGCACAATGCATGAATGAGGATGCATTATTTGAGTTGTAATCATTTCAAGCATTAATGAGAGAGAGATAGGTCATATAGATGCATGAATGATGATTCAAACTTATCAAGAGCATTAATGGGCTAAAGTTAATAATTTTGAAGTCATGCATAATGTAATTCCATAGTTAAAACTTATGGTTGAAAATGGGGAAGATGTGGTCAAATTAGAAAATCATGAGTGGCACAATCATATGGTTTCTTCCAAAGATGTGGCTAAGGGGAATGAAATTAGAAGACCAAGACTTAAATGTAATAATGACTTTGGGTTAAAATCCTTATGTGTAAAGATGAAGATAGGTGTTCCAATACCAAAGCTTCAAGTGGCCCAATGAGAGTGGCTAAGAGAAGATATTTCAAGAGAGAGTTTCTTGATCGAGTAAAATGAGTGAATCATTAAAGACATTAATTGGCTAAGGTTTTCATGAATGATGTAATGAATAAGCTAATGCATGATATCATCATTAGATTAAGTTCAATGTCACAAAAGCATGTGTGTTAAAACTATTGGTGGAAAATGAGAAGATGTGGTATAAATTAAAGAGGGACAAATGGCTCACTTATATGGTTTTCAAAGTAGATATTTGTTAAGCTATCAAAATATCTAGTAAATCAGTATGTAAACAAGGAAATTAGTGTCATTTTCGAGCATTGATAAATCAGAAAAATATTTTGAACTCACTCAAAACATTAATGAAAATAACGGATGTTAGGAAAATCTCAACTCAATTTATTTTAAAACTTGAAAATCATCCAATATGAAACTCTAAGCATATCAATCATTTCTACAACTAATATGGCGGCAATTAATTAATTACCGTTACACTACACCATCAACATACACAACAACATCCTACCATATCGAACTCTAGGCGATAACGATAACTGAAAATCATTTAAATATTATTACAAACTATGGAAAATTCCGAATGTCATGGTCATCACCGAGGTGATTGTCTAATAATAAATGGGTCACATGTTTTTCAAAAATTAGCAAGGTCTCTTTTTCATCAATTTTTCAAGGGTTCATGTATGTTGCTTAATTGCGGCGTACCTCATATGATGAGACTATTTTGCAGCAAGCATCTTGATAGGGTAATGGTGATGATCTTGTCAATCTTGATTTTTCATGTTTCGAAATATGCAAAGCTATGCAAGAAAAGTCGCCCTCCTTCCGTGGGTGGTCAAGTTGAAAACATTGGGATTAAATTGTAAGATTGCCGACATTTTTTTTTGAGAAAGTGATGCAGAAGATTCGTCTGATCTGGTGTTCAGGTTATATTTGAATTTGATTATAGATAGAAAGGGAGCAATACAGAAAGTTGATATGCTTCGTAAAACTGCAACACGGATAACAAATGTGTCGAGTTCGAGCTATATCCCAATTTGACATGACATGATTATGACACAACACATAAATACGAATTACCAACTGTGCACGACACGCTAGAATTTCCGATAGACATTCTTACCTTATAACCAAGTAAATCATCAGTCATCACCAAGATGATTGTCCAAAAATAAATGGGTCACTTGTTTTACAAAAATTAGCGACATCAATTCTCATTAGCTTTTGAAGGGTTCATGTACGCTGCCTAATTGCGGTGTACCTCATATGACGAGACTTTTTTCGCTGCAAGCATCTCGATAGGGTAATGGTGATGATCTCGTCAATCTCGATTTTTCGTGTTTTGAAATATGCAAAGTTATGATTCAAATCGAAAATTTCATAACACCTAAAAGGGTCCGCTAGTGGCTGTTGTCTTTCACTAATTAAAAAAGAAAAAAGAAACCAAGATAACTCCGACCGAGTAGATTCACTAACGTAAGGGCCCATTTGGCAAGTTACCAAATAGTGAAAATTTTTGTTATTTTGTTCGTAGAATCAGTTTGGGAGCAGAAATCCGTTTGTTAAATTTTTTGTTTACGGGCACAAATTTGCAAAAAATCGTTCCCAGAATCAGTTTTAGAACAGAATCAAGAAACAAAAAAAGTAACTTCTTCATTTTGGGAACAATTTTTCCATTTCTGATTTTTTTTTATTTTCTTCTTCCTTTTTGGTTTGTTGTTCTTCTTCTTTCTGATCTGCCGCCGGCCACAAGCCAACTCGCGACTGCGACGGGGAGGCCTCGCCCAGCCATGGCGAGGCTGACCTTGCCGTCGCGACTCAGGCAAGGGAGATGGGTCGCGATGGCGGGCGAGGTTGGCCTCGCCAGATCTAGGCAAGGTCGAGCTTTGCCCAACCAAGGCGAGGCCGACCTCGCCGTCGCGATCGGCGAGGCCGGTGGCAAGGGTCGCGACGCCCTCGCCGGCCCTGGCTTGTGACCGATCGCTGGCTCCGGCGACCGGCCATGGCCAGGGAAGGAAAGGGAAGGGAAGGGAAAGAAAGAAAAAAAAGAAAGAAATATTAAAAATTCAAAATATTATTAATAAAAAGAAATTTTGTGTAGTTACCAAACACATTTATGTTCTTTTTCTATTCTAAGAATATAAATTTTGGGTAGTTATCAAATGCCTTCAGATGCTTAGAAATTGTTCCCGGGCACGGAATAAAAAAAAATCATTTCTGAATAGAATCACTTTCCGGGCACAGAATCGTTGCCATGCGAATCCTAAGAATGTTGTGCCCTAAAAAAATCTACAACCCGACAACCGGATCAGGCCACAGGGCCGAAATGTCGAGAATACCCTCGCCGTTCCCCGAATCAGGTTCAGTATCCACCGTCTGAGTTGTCAAACATCCGTCCGTCCACGTGTAAATCGTATTGTAAATCCCTTGATTAAATTTAAGATTTGCCCTCCGCAATTAAAAATAAAATAAATTAATTAATCAATTTTACCTCGTTACATAAACCCACCCAAAACCCTAACACGAACTAACTCCTGACTGAAGGAAGGGCTTCTCCCTCTCTCTCTCTCGCTCTCTCTCTCCTCTCACCTCTGGCAGAGCTGAAACCGGTGTGGTGGTCGTGCACGAAGCGAATTCTATCATTCACACCATTTTCTTGAGAGATAGAGAGAGGTGGGTGGGGGGGTTTAGGGCTTGCTGAGGATGGTTGCAGACAAGGGGAAGAAGATGAAGGTCGGGGAGAAAGGGTCGGAGGACAACTCGGAGCAGATTGACGGGGAGCTCGTCGTCTCCATCGAGAAGCTGCAGGAGATCCAGGACGAGCTCGAGAAGGTCAATGCATTCCTAAAAAATGTTGCCTTTATTTCGGTTCTTTGTGGGGTTGATGTCAAGATTCGGTTTTTTTAGAATGTAAAGAAATTTGGAATCTCGGGTTCGGGTTCTTGCAGGGTTTCTTTCTGTAGGGTTGGATTCACGTGATGTCTCTCCTTGGGTGTTGAGTTGGGAATGGATGGAGATGAAAATAATTTAGTTCTTCGTTTTAATTATTTGTGGGAAAGAAAGACTTGTTTCTTTTAATTAGGCAATTTAGTTTGCGAGGACTACATATCAGATTTCCGTGTGCTTTCCTTTGTTTCTGTTTTTCTGTTTTTTTTTTCCTAAAATTATGATGGACTAGTTCTGATTCAATTTGTAGATTTTGGATCATATTTTGCTTGTTATCTAGTCGTCTGGTTTCGCACTTTTGTACCCGTTCGAGTTGTATGGGCTGTGGTTGCGTCTGTTTTGTATATTATGTCGCAGAAGCAGGGTTGTCTCTGGGAAGCTGTTTGTCACTGCTGTCTGATTCAGTCTTTTACGGTTTGTCGGTTCGATAAGAACCTGTTTAAGCAGAACTAACTCATGTTTTCTCACCTTTTCTCCTCTTAACTTTTTCCAGATCAATGAAGAGGCCAGTGACAAAGTTTTGGAAGTAGAGCAGAAGTATAACGAGATAAGGAGGCCTGTCTATGATAAGAGGGGCGACATCGTAAAGTCAATTCCTGATTTCTGGCTGACCGCTGTCAGTAATCTCTCCTGATCATTGTTGTTGCTACGATATGTTACAGTTCTTGTTAAAATAAAGGATTTATGATGGTATTGGCATTACCTGTATAAGGGTCTCGTCTTGACTTACCTTTTTTTGTTTGTAGTTTCTGAGTCATCCTGCGCTCTGTGAACTTTTGACTGAGGATGACCAAAAGGTTTGTCTTGCATTCTTTCTAGACTTGAAAATCAGAAGTGAAATTTATGAGCTTCTGAGATGCAATTTTCCTCTGGACTAGTGCGATTATTGAGGTCTCAATCATTGTTTATTTCTTTTCGCTGCTGACTTCATAGTTGATTTTTGTCATTTCCCTTGATAGATATTCAAGTATCTAAGCTCCCTCGAAGTGGAGGATTTTAAGGACGTAAAATCAGGATACTCTATAACCTTTGTGAGTTTTGCTCAGCCTTCTTGCTCTTCATTTTACTTCGGAAGAGGGTCCTGTTTTTCTCTCTGACGATCTAGCTAATTGTTTTCTCAATGTCTGTTTAGAATTTCAATCCCAATCCTTATTTTGAAGATGCCAAGCTTACGAAGACTTTTACCTTCCATGATGAAGGAACAAAAATTACTGCTACCCCAATTAAGTGGAAGGAGGGTATGGTAGGTGCTCTTGAGTCTTGATGTCCATACTTATGCATGTACTGGGTTGCTCTTTTACTTTTGTGATTTTACTCAGTGGTTCTTTTTGATATGTAGGGGTTGCCTAATGGTGTCCCTCATGAAAAGAAAGGAAACAAGCGACCTTTGACTGAGGAAAGGTAAGGCTTTTACTCCTATGTTAATTATTTGAATGAAAGTGATCATTTTCCTTGGAACATTCCATAGTTACAAGATGAATCCTGTGAGGGATGTATCTTCCTCCTATATTTGAGTGGTTTTTTTTCCCTGCAGTATTGAAGAATGGTTTTGTTATTCTTTCATTTTAATTTGTTTTTGCGTTCTCGTCCCCAAGTACAATAGTTTGGAAGTTGCTTTATGTTCATGCCTTCTCGTCTGGCTTGCTCTAGTTCAAAGTAGTATTTCTTTTAAACATATTGTTATGAATGGGATGGAGATGGAGATGGTAAGACTCAACCCGAGAAATCTTAATCTTGGTGAGCTTGGACCACAGTTGGGCCAAGCTGTTGCTCCAATAGGGGTATGAAAACTGAGATATGGGAAGTGCACTAGTGTAGGTGTTACATTTTCTTCCTATTTGCTCTTGCACGTCTTAATCATCGAATTCATTACAAAATGACCTCTCTTTCAGTGAAAGACCCACTCCGGATGACTTCATCCGTTGCTTTCTTACTAATTATCTGCAATTGCCATTCTGTGTGCAGCTTCTTTCACTGGTTTACTGATAGTCAGCAGAAGGAAATGGAGGACATAAATGATGAGGTCAGTTCCTTTTGGCTTATGCGGAAGCTTTATCTTGTCAATGCTGGCAACTCCCAATTCACTCAGGCGTTACATCTATATAATGGGAGCTGATTTGACTTATTGCAGATAGCTGAGATCATTAAGGAGGATTTGTGGCCCAATCCGCTTACTTATTTCAACAACGTAACTTTCTCTCTTTTTTTTCCCATTCTTTGTTAACCTTTCTCATGTTATTGTTGGTCTCTTTCCCAATCATAATCAGAAGCTGTTATTCCTTCTCTCATGTTATTTGGTACTTCATGAATGCTCTGACACAGGATGCTGATGAGGAAGATTTTGATGGTGAAGACGATGATGAAGAGGTAAATGAACCTGTATTAGATTCCCAATGGATATATCTGGCATTCCTCTATAATTATACTTTTTATTTCCGTTTATATTGCCCCTCCTCTCCTCTCTATCCCACAACTTTTTCTGATTGTTTGTAAATCTGCTTATTTAGTATCGTGATTTTCTTCTAAATAAGAAATTTTTCTGGGGGAAAATGACCTACGATGATATACTTGTTATTGATGGGCTATTAATCACAGAATCTCTCACAATTCCCCAACTAGTTCTTGTGTGCAAGTTCAATGTGAGGTTTTCTAAATCTCAAAAACCGCTTCCTGTTCTATAAATGGTATTATCCCTTATTTCAATCATGAAAGATGAAACTACGTGGTTCCTCATCGCTCTAAACATGCTTAAGACTAGCCTTTCTGATGCACTGTATCGCTTTAATCATGTCTGAGGTAAAAACCAGCTTGGTCCTTTGGCTGTTTCCCATAAATACGTCATGCAGATGCATGGATCCTCTCAGCCATGTTATGTGAGTGCATGAAGATTGGATCTCTTCCTAATCCAAGATTTCTGTCTGATCCACAATTGAAGAGAATGGGATAGTTGAGTTCTTTATGGCACCATATCTCCCATGTTCACGTGAATTCTACCTGAATTGTTTGCAAACATGTAGGAAAATGGTGATGGCTCGGAAGATGACGACGAAGACGAGGATGATGAATGAGATGATGGCAAAGGGCGTCTCCTCTGCATACATTATTATAATTTTACTGCTATAGTAGGACCTGGGTAAGGTGGTCTTTTAGTGGCCATTGTAGTGAGTGAGTCTCCCTTTTGTTCTTGCTTTCTGTAATTTCTTCTCTATGGATTGCCCGAGTGTTTAACGAGAATATCGTCATTTTCCCTTAAGGCTCATATTTATGCACGGCGTGGATCGATATGTTTCCTTATACGAGCCCCTTGACGATGAAATGTTTGATGCCGTATTCTGACTTGATGTACTTTTAGCCAAGCGACATGACTTGCTCGTCGAGCTGTTTTTGGGTTGCTCGCAACTTTGTTTACATCATGGTCATTTGTTGTGGTACTCAAAAGAAGGGGATTATGATGGATGTATTAAGTTCAGTGCTGATAGCAGAAAACTAGCAATGGTAATACCCTTCCTGCATAACTCCTTACCTCTTTTGGCATCAAGCGGTTCTAGTTGATGTTTCTAGGTGGAGAAACTGAGAGGTTTAACGCGGAAGATTTCAAGTTTATCGGGATCTACCATGTCTTCGATTCTCCGAGTGCTCTAAATTTCGGTACCTCGGGGTGGAAGAGATAGCTGCGCTGCTGCATGGCGGCGATGGGATCATGCAGTTTCATTTGAGCGACCAAATTAGCTTAAGTTCGATCTCGAGTTGAAAGGGTGGCGATTGGCACGAGCCCTCATCACTCCGTGTTCTAATTCACGCAAGTTCGTGGAAAACATCAACCGTCGTAACCTGCACGTCGCATTAGGCTTGACGGTCTGGCGAGATAAACGGCTTTAGTTTCGGCGATTGCACTATCTGCTGTTTCTTCTCTATTGCACGTCCGTCATCGTCGTCGACATAGAGCAGAGGCACGTAAAGGCGAAGGAATCCCGAGTCCTTTTTTCTCGTACCCGAGTTTGTATTTAATCGAGTTAATCGTTGGATTACGGCACTAATGAAGCAATACTTAATAAAGACAATATCTTTTTCTATGTTCAGGCTAATAAGCAGGGGGTGAGGGGGTAATGTTCGGCTTACAAAACATTCATCAAAAGTTTTAAAATTAAATTGATCACATTGAAAGTTTTATGACTGAATTGGTATCATTGCAATTGCGTTGCAATAAGATTAAGGTAAGGAAAAAAAATTAGCAAGCTCCTGGACCAAGTTGAAAATGGCGGCCCAAGCTGGGCTAGGGCTTCAAAAATGGGAGAGCCCAACAGCGCGAGACAAGCCCGAGAACTCGAGCCATAACTAGGGTTTTTCCAAAGGGTTCCTTCACCTTCCTTCCTTCAGTCCGCGGAGAAGAAGACGAGTCACCAGACGGAGGAGCCACCGGCGGAGGAGCAGAGTCACAGACATGGTTCACGTCTCCTTTTACCGCAACTGTGAGTGCTCTTCCTTCCTTCCTTCCTTCCTTGCGCTTGTAGGTGTTTGCTTCTTGTTCTTTGTATGGATCTGCTTTGTGGGTGATCGCCGCTTCACTGTGTATCGATCGCAATGATGTGAATTTTGTGGTCTGCGGTGTCTGAGGGCGGAGCTCCAGTTCCTTCGGCCGTGATAACCTGCATGTTTCTAGGATTTACGGGGAACCCATCTTAGTATCGAGTGACGCGATGTTCTTGTTAACGACGCCCCGCTTGCTCTGGGGCGTGAGTATAGAATTTGTGGGTGCGCGTTTTTCGACTGAGCAGAGACGTTCTGCTTTGCTTGTGCTGTTCGGCAATTGAAACTTTTGAGTCGACCCCGCGATCATCACTGGGCTGCAAAGTACAGATCGTTGAGAAATTTCGTTTTTCGAGCGATCTTTTTTAGTTTTGATTTCAAGAACGAGCGGGGATCGAGATAGACTATTTGGCGCTTCTGTTTCTTTAAGTGGGATGCTGATTTGAATTCACAACCTCTTCTTTGCCGCTGACTAATGATTGAAGGGTGTGGGCTGATGTTTGATTTGTGTGTGCTGCCGCTGTTTTGATTTGATGCAGATGGGAAGACGTTCAAGAAGCCTCGCCGTCCATATGAGAAGGAACGGCTGGATGCTGAGCTGAAACTTGTTGGTGAGTATGGGTTGAGGTGCAAGAGAGAGCTGTGGAGGGTTCAGTACGCGCTGAGTAGAATCCGTAACAACGCCAGGATGCTTCTGACCCTCGACGAGAAGAACCCTCGTCGTATCTTTGAAGGTGAGGCCCTTCTTCGTAGGATGAACCGCTATGGGCTTCTGGACGAGAGCCAGAATAAGCTCGATTATGTCTTGGCCTTGACCGTGGAGAACTTCCTTGAGCGCCGCCTTCAGACATTAGTGTTCAAGTCGGGTATGGCCAAATCCATCCACCATGCCAGGGTGCTCATTAGGCAGAGGCATATCAGGTAAAACTGTTTTGACCTATCTTGATGCGAGTGTCGTGTTATGCGCTGTATGCGTGGATTATTTGACAATTTCGTGATGCTAATTCACACCATTATCATCCTGTCACTGGTTTTAGCTTGTGGTTTGACTTTACCATGTTACTGGATGTTCTTTTTAATGGCAACAGTCGCCTGGCGAGAGCAAAGAATGCTAACTATCAGCTCTAGAGTCTAGAATTCTGAAGTCTCATGTCAATATCCTCTGATGTCACTAGGTTAGGCAATTTAACATTGCATGCATAGCAAGGTGCTTTTTATTTGGTCGAATGATGATGTTTGTAGCTTTGATTAGTCAATTAACTGAAGTGCCGGTATTTATGTCAGTCAATGTGGTTATAGGGCGTGCCCATCTGGAGCTATGATTCTGTGAGAATTATCTGTTTTATGTTATTTCCGTGGTAAATGCTGTAGTTCTTTTTTTTTTGTCAATGAAATGAAAAGAGTAACGCCTGCTGCGTCAGTAGTGTTCAGCCTACTATTATGCTATTGACTACGTTTTTGTTATCATAATGTTGGATCTCGTTTTGGGCTGGCAGGGTTGGTAGGCAAGTCGTGAACATCCCATCCTTCATGGTGAGGGTTGATTCACAGAAACATATTGATTTCTCGCTGACTAGTCCATTCGGTGGTGGACGACCTGGAAGGGTAAAGAGAAAGAACCTTAGGTCGGCTGCCAAGAAGGCTTCTGGTGGCGATGGAGATGAAGAGGACGAGGATTAAGCTACTCTCTGTTCTGTTAGAATGAGTGGCGCTTAGTGAATTATCTGTTACCCATCCTCATCCTACTATTTTTATTTTGCTTAAAATGCTGTTGCTTTAGTTTGAGAACTTTGAGCTTTGTTGATGTTTGGCCGATTACTCATGTGACTTAAAAGTGCCGGATCATCTTGTTTCGAGATCCTACACCTTATTTGTGGTCTTAACTTTTGTACTCTGGAAAGATATTTCACTTATTAGAATAGAGGCTGAGAATTTTGATTGGGAAATGTTTTTTGGTCTGATTGATTTTGGGAGATGAGGCGGTTGAATTATGGCGATCTCTTCTCTCCGCTTGGGGAAAAAAAATACGGTGATGTTTCCTGAGTTCCACAATGGAACCGAAGCCTATTTGTGATTAGGAATCCGGTTTATCGTGTTAAACATAGACAGAATTCATGGACCTCGACATGGTAGATGGACTTAGTATCGTACAGGGTGACTACTTAGTAGTTCATGTTCAGTAAATCGTGACTTCTAGCTGAAGAAACGTGTGAGGATTCGTTTGTTTACTTCACACAGGCCATGACCCTTTATCTATGTAAAGATATATAAGGGTGCAAAGTGCAAAGTACCCTCTCTCGATCTCTTGATCGATATCTTGTAGGGATGTATGGATTATCGAGAAGAGAGGACCAATCTACATGCTTTTTGCAATGTAATTTGTTGAATTTCTTACATTAAATCTTCAATAACTCCTCTTTACCCCTTTGACCGTAAATGCTCAAAAGACTTTCTATTGAAATTGTTGTCTTTAGAAACATCTTCTTCATTTAGAATCAGTTAATAGCATATCTTTAATCGACTACTTGGCATGACCTAATCTATAGCCATTTTCCTAGTCTCTTTCTGGGGTCTCCTTAGTAGACGTACCACCAACCTTTACTGTTTACATTTACATGCTACCTCGCATGACCTAAACTTCTAATTTTGCCCCCGCAAATCTTATCATTGCAATATCCTGCACGAGAGACGATATGCTGAAAAGAAGAAGGTTGGCAATGTAGTTAGTACCCTGCAGGAAAAGACATTAATTGGAATAAAGGGTTATCTTATCTTTAGTAGATATGCTTATCATGACGACCTTTACAGATACGAGGTTGCTGTTCTAATTTATCTATGTGTTTGTTTTTGGTGATTTCGTGGAAGAGTAAATTTGTTTGAAGTGAGTGAAAGGTCCTTTGGTTTTTAGCTTCTGTGACTGGAAGAACAGCACTCACGATGGCTGTCATCGCATACACAAGGCAAAAGAAGCAGCTGCTGTATTTTGATCCTTTTTGTGTTTTTTTTTCCCTATATGCTTGAGTTGACCACAGTGCAGATTAATTTAGTCCTTTAATCAAACAAGCCTCTCATGTTGGGCTTCTTTGTTTTGTCTGCTTGTGTTCAATACCTAAAAACTTTCACAAGTATATCAACCTACGACTTTGTGAATTTATCAATTCCCATAAGAGGATGCTTCTGGTCATTAAATGTATCTTTCAAGGTACAATGTGGGGCAAGCTTCGATGTTCATATCACAACTATTAGTACCTAGTTAAGGATATCTAAAACACATAAACGACAAAGAAGATTGAGCTTTTCTTTCATTCTTTTTGCTCTTACCTTCTTTTTTTGTGTGGAGACAGTGGGTGTGATATGAAATCAGATATAAGGGGACTCCAGTACTTAAATTTAGCCATAGAAGATACAAAATATATCTCTCTCTGAAGGGTTGTCTTCAAACCAACCAACATATATATATATATATATATATAGAGAGAGAGAGAGAGAGAGAGAGAGAGAGAGAGAGAGAGAGAGAGAGAGAGAGAGAGAGAGAAGCAAAGACAAAAAGGCTTTATTGTAGAAGAAGAGTTCTAAGAAGCTGTGCATCAGCACTAGATATCTCCATATTATCCAACAATGTAGTCAGTCTTTCGCTCAGCTCATCCATCTCTCTGTGTAGCTTCCTAATGTAACTGCATGTTTCCTTCAAAATCTTTGATGGGGCTACCTGTGGCCAAAAAAAATAAAAAAAAACTCTTCTATGTTATATACCAAAGAGATAAGGAAACAATAAACAAGATCTTTTCGTGGCAAAAGTTAATAATTATTGTATATATAGACCAAGCACTAAGAATAGTTGCATGGAAGGCACTCAGTGTCACATCATAATTAAATGCTTCATTGAAGCTGCTTATCATCATAGTCTCTTTCTTACACTCAGCATGATTGCAGCTGAACTAGGACTTTTTGTTTCTTCTTTATGTTCTTTTCCACTCTTCCACTCTATTTGGTTCCATTTTCTTGCTCCTTTTCCTTTTTGCCCTTTTTCTGGTCAACAGGGTGTTTTTGACCCATCTACCCTAAAATTAGAGCTGCAAATTCTGACCAGAACCAAAGGAAAAGGAAAAGGAAAAGAAAAACTTGTGTTGAAGGGACGACATAGAGGTGCTGCTGTGAAATTCAAGACACAAGTCATTTTCATTTTTGAACCGTGACACTAACAAGGAATTACAAGTAGAAGGCAAGGGGAGAGACAGCAAGAAGAAGAGGAAGAAGAAAGAGTCCTAATAGCTCTATACCATTCCATTGTTTCTCCTTTGCTCAAGCTGAGGAAGCAGAGCCTGTAACTTGGAGATGAGATTATTGATCTCATCTTCTGTTAACTGAGAGGTTCTTGATCTTCTTGTGGACATGATCACCGATCGCTAATCAACCCCCTCGACCCGATACTCTTCTTTCACTCAAGCCTCTCACAAAAGCTTCAGAAACTAGCCGGGGAAGTGTAAATGGCAGCAAGAGGGAAGCTTATAAAGGGAAAGGGAATGATGTGAGAGAGAGAGAGAGGGAGACAGACTGAGAGACACGATGGTAGTTGAAAAAATACATCAAACAAGGAACAGGTGAGTTATAGTAAACCTGAGAAGGGCCCATTCTGTCTCACGTCTTTACATGCAAATGGGTCCAGCAAATTTTGCCAATTTAGTTATCTGAAAAAAGCCCCTCAAGAAAGCCACCCTAGTGCAGGATCTAATGTAAGGCCACTTCTTTATAAATTGCAGTGCATGGATACGTGTCAGTTCGTGAGCTTAAGTTCGGCAATCTAATTTGTGTGTGGGATGTTTACATGCTACCAAGAAGATACCTTGTTGCATGCTCCCATTTATTTAGAGCCAAGACACAGTCCCTACATAGCTTTCTCGTGATAAATCTTGTACATAAACTTTTGGTCCTTGTCCAATGCCCACTTGTTCTTTCTTTGGTTTCTAGGTTCACACATGATCCCATATTCTATTTCACAGTGTTGTCGTTGGCAATTTCTTCACCCAAATATGACTACACATATTGAAATAGCATTAGGGTTTGCGAGACTTGGGATGGCGACAAATGAGTTCATGTACCAGCACACCTGAAAAAGAGAGAATCTTTCCCAAATTTCAATTTAAAGCAGGGAAACCTCTGCAACATATATTTAGATAGATCGTCTGGAGAGTCGCTTTTAGACTAGTGGCTCTCAAAGAACTCATGTTTAAAGCTACTGTAGCCGTCGTGATTGAACCAAACCAATTAAAAAGAGCCAATGACAACTTTTATTTTCCATGCCCTTTACGTAAGAACTAGCCCTCTACTGCATCAGGGTTTTGTCATCCCATCCCCACGTTGGTTGAATTAACATGAATACAAAGCACATTCGAGCCCCCACACACAAGCAACCTGAAGATTATCCGAATGATTGGGCAGAGTAGAATCATCATATGAAACTTCCCCTTTTCATTTTTGCTGGTCCCTCAAGTCTAAGTACCTGAGGAAGCCGAGCGGTGTATTAGAAAAGAGCAAGAGGGTTTGAACAGATGTTACAGAACAAATGACCAAATTTGGCTCAATCAGAGCGATTGATGGATCGACACAAGTTGGATTCCTCCAATTTTTAAAGTGGAAATAATTTCGCATTGCGATGGCCCCATTTGAATTTCGGCCGGTCATTGTTTATGGACTTTGAATCCGATGGAAAACAAAGGAAAAAGAGGAGGATGTGACAATGCATATGAAAAAGCAGACGAGTGACTGAAACTACACACGAAAAGGCTTCTTATGGGGGGGAAAAAGCCCAATAATTGGAGATGTTGGCCTCATCTACCAAACCCTTCCACCCTCCCCGTCTCGCCCCTAAATTCTCGGCGACCTGCCGCGGCCACGTCACATGATTGACCCGCCCCATGGCACACTCCAAGGGGTGCGTTGCCCTCGACACGTCACGCCCCCCTGTCCCCTTGCTGGTTGACATGGACAGGGCCCCATGCGAAAGAATTCGTGCAAGGAAAAGATTGTTGCTCTCTGCCGTCCGACCACGACGTTCCACGGTCTTTCGTTGCGAGAATAGAGCCGAGCAACACAATTTGATGACGAGGGCTCGTCCTTCATCATTCGGGGAAAAAAATCAGCATTCACATTAGGAAGTAAAGACAATGGCAGGTCCAACAGATGATTGGAGCTAATCACCATTAAGTCATCATCTTAAGCAGCATTTCATTGCAGCTTTTCTGGGGTGAATCTTCTTCTACTAACTTCGGAAGCTCTCGGGCGTTGACGAATTCCCCCATCAAAGCACAAAATGTGGGAGCATAAATAACATCAAATGGTCAGGAGAGAGCAGAAGCAAAAACCCATCAAGTATGCTAACCCTGTCCATGTGCAGTCAATTCCTATCCATGATTCAAACAAAAGAACATGTTGCTGATAGGATTTTATTCAACTTCTTCGAGAAAACAATGAGTGAATCTAAGAATATGTTACACGAGTGTGTCGTCGCCTAAATACATTGTTCTGGTAATGTCTCTTCTCTAATGCTGCGGGTTAATGAGAGATTGTGCTTCGGAAACTTCAGCTCGTGAAGACCCGGTTCTTTGCAATCTTTTCTGCCTCAAAGACTCTCAAATAACTAATGCCTTCCTCCTTTAACCATCCGAGCCCTCCCGCTAGGCTATCTTTAACTTGCTTCTCTCCCATCCTGAGCAACTTCAAACCTTCACATAATCTTGGAAAAAAGCCTTCGGGTCGTAGACACCAAGCACGGAATACTCCAAATAAGACTTCCATGTCGCTACTTAGCCTTTCGACACCTCCGTTGTAAAATTTCATGTTACTCATTAGAAGACCATGTGTGATAGACTGATCCACCCCTTCAGCCACTTTCCTCCACACCGTTACAAAGTCCATCCCATTTAAGCTTTCCTCTATTATTGACATTTTACCCTGCAAATGATCGAGGGCATCGACCAAAGTCCTAGACACTGTCGAACCTTCTTCAGACTTTTCCTGCCACTGTTTCCTGTTTCTCATGTAATCTCGAGAGCTAACATCGAAACCCCTCAAGACAACAACTGATATCTTCTCAACCCATTCCACTCTGAACTCTTCCAACTTCCTGATCTCCTCGTCGAAGACACCACTTCCCGTTCCATACACCGTTCCATCAAAATCACCCTCTTCCGCTTGCGATTTTCCAAGTTCATCACCTTGCCCCAACCCCATCTCGATAAAAAAGACATCTTCACACCATTCTCTCAAAACAGACTCGACATAGCGCGCAGTATTAACAGAATTGGCTACTTTGATAAGGGCACTGTCATCTGTCAATGCAGTCAATCCTTCAGCTTCTTGGCACCTGACAAGCAAGCAATCCAAAAATTTCTGTATTGTAGGTGCACCAACTAACTTGAGAAACTTAGACCTGAGAGGAATGTCGGGTAGTGACCGTGAGCGATCCACAACAGATGACAGACGCCGGAGGAAGAAATCTGAAACAAGGGGGGACCTGTAATCTTCTGGACCAGACATAAGAACAGCTCCCTGAACTTTCTTTGTCCAATTTCTCTCATCATCAACATCAGCTTTCAACTTGTCCAGCGTATCACTGAGCTCAATTTCTGCCCATAACTCAAGCCAATCGGGTCGATCACAGAAAACAGATAAAGAGGAAAGCTTCTGCAAATTTCTTTCATCCATAAGAGAGAATGAGATCCCAGAATTAGCTACAAGGGATCTTATTTGTTTATCGAAAGAAATCATCAAGTCAATGAGATGGAGCCATGATGTTCTCGCTTTTGATCTAACACCGGTGACGCTCTCTTCTTCCAGTTGGCCGGCATAGAGAGGCAATATCTCTTTCGCCAAATATGTGGACAAGGCAGAAACCATCGAGGCGATCCATTCTTCTCTGCAGCTGTACCCTGCTAGCATTGCTTCGTCAACCAGTGGTTGCAACAATTCATCCATAGAATCCACATAATCCCTTGTAATCTTAAAAACAAGAGCAAAAACAAATTCTGGTTTATCAATCCACTTCGAAAAATGACGTTCGGATGCAAGTGATACAGGGTTTACAAGCTCCTCAATTGCCCAAAGTGGCTGATGGAGAGCGATTTCCCGATTACGCCCTTCAAGTTGGCGAGATCTTCTTTTTCTCTGCAACTCCTGAAGGTGGCATAAGGAGAGAAAATTTTCACAGTATTGGCGCTTGAGATCCCCTTGCATCGTTAATAGAGGATTTGGGACTGCTGGTAACCTCCCTGCATCTGGATTTGCAGAAGTCGAAGTGGAAAGAGGCGGTGGCCATCCAAGTGAAGAAAGAAAGGCCCGGTGATCTGCAATGGCCTGCGGTCTCAAAATAGCTAGAGCCCGATCAATTCTGTGATCAACTGCACACACAAGATGCGTCCATCGAGGGCGTAGCTTTGAGACTTGAGTTATAACACCTTCTATTTCACCGAGTGTTCTTATAGCATGCATGCGCACCTCCTGCAATGACAAGATTTTACCTATGTCACTTACTTTCATGTGATAAATTCAAGTTTATAGGTGCTAAAATAGGAAATTCGGAATTGTGGGAATATACATAATTATACATGAATCTGACACCATTATATATCTATATCAAGATTGGTTCTCACTTCAGAACTTCGCGCAAACGAATGCTTTCTTTTCAAAGTCGAAGAAACGGCTTCCTCAACATCACCGATCAAACTGTCCAGCTTTAATGCTGTCTCTGGAAGACAAAACACAAAAGTATATGTGAGTATTACCGCTAGTGATACATCAAGAGAGGACTGCTTTGCTTGGCGTAACAAAAAATGCATCGGCCAACTAATACAGAGGGTCACCTGTTTGACCATAGAAAGGCCAACCGTAAAGAGGCCAACAAAGAAATAGAAGAAAAGACACGCTTTTATGAAATGGAAACACCAATTTGTAAAACTGGTAAGCAGGGGCCAATAAATACATGCATCAGTGCAGCAATCTATTATTTCTCAAATTTATCTCCACCCAATTGACCCACCCTCCGCCATCTCCAAGAAGAAAAGTTCAAAGTACAGGAAAACCATACAGAAAGGGAAAGTTTCTCTCAGTCTCCCACTATATCTCTCTTTGTAGATTCTGGACATGAAGGCCAGCAGATGGACCTTTCCTTGGAAGAATGTTCAACAGCACCAGCAAAAACCCAGCAAAAACCTATGATTTGCTTATCAAATGATACATCTCATGCTATAAAGACTACCTGCAAAGCTCTTGGTAAAACAAAGTTTGATAGAAGCAAATGTTTCCAATCCATTTTACTTGGTAGAAGTGCACTAGAAATCCTAAAACCATAGTACGAAGTATATATAAATCCTAAAACCTTTCGATTGATCATTTAACTATCACACGTTTTTAAAATGGTTCAATCAAGTATTTTCGGCACCTTTTCTTGTGAGAATATCACATGTGGCATGCCTTTTAAAATGCCACGTGTCACTTTCCAAGGAGAGAAAGCACTGGCTATCCATAATTGTATAATTTCAAAAAGTTTTAGGACTTAAATGGTTGATGCCTTACAGAAGTTTTATGACTTTTAATGCATTTCACCCCATTTTTTCCCATGTCATGTGGCCCCTGAAGTCTGCTAGTGGCAATGTTGTTAAGTGACTTCCTGTTAGAACATCAATTATGAGACCGAAGAGGTCTGCACAGTCAATCTTTAAAAGGCTAGCATCAGTATTTCACATCAGCAATGGTCCTTAGGAGCAAGCCCTGATGAATTAAGGAATTCCAGGACGATGCCAGCAAACCAGGTTAGTATTGATATTTCACGAGAGGCCAAAACCACACT